CGGCCAAGGGCTGACGGCCAAGGGGCCCCGAGCGGGAGGAGCCAGGAGGAGTGGGGGAGGCCGTCCGAATCCCTAGGTTCTCCAGGGTGGCACCGTGAGCAGTTCCGCTGCAAACATCTGACGGTTTTCAAGACAAGGGAAGAAGGACCCCCAGGCGGATCAGAGATTGCCAGGGCTGCCCCGAGGTCTCCAAAGGGGTGCCAGACATGCCGCCCTAGCAGCGCCGAGCGGGCTGGCTAGTGATGCTGCGTGACCACGCCCCCGCCCAGACCCCACGTGGACCCCCAAGGCCAAGGGGAGCAGGGGAGAGAGGACGGAGGTCAGGAAGAACACTGGCAGCGAGGGAGACAGGGAGGCCGATAGGTGAGGCACTCAGAGCTGAAGTCCCTCCTAGGCTGAAACCTCTCGTGTGCAGTTCTGATCCAAACTTCTTACCGGCAAGAGGGAGCGAGCAGATGGCAAAAGCTCACACTGTGTGCTGGTCACACACCCAGGTTCTCCCCAGGCCCGGGGGCCCACAGGCATGACTTACCTTGTAGGGCGAGATGTGCGTGTCCGGTGGGAAGGCCAGCATGCCCATGACCTGGCGGACCTCGTCCAGCTGGCTCCCTTCGGCCTGACTGAAGTGCTTTCTCGCATGTCTAGAAAACATTTCGGGTCATCTGAGTTTGCCTTTTTACCTTCAAGAAGCTATGTGCAGCACATGCCAGAGCCTCAGTACCAAGTAAGCCCCACCTCATGTGACCTGGCCCAGGGTCTGCCACAGCTCAGCTCAGCGAGGGCCCCCCTCCTCAAGGGGAACAGGGAGGGGGACGAGGCATGAGGCACCAAGCACAGAACCCCATGCAGAAAACACCCAGAGGCAGTGGCCCAAGCCCTTCCAAGTGACCCTGGTGGCCGTGAACCCAAACCCCAACGACACAGCCCTGGGAGGACCCAGAGACAGTCTGGTTCTCCCAGTGCTGCAATAAGTCCCCATCCAACTCTCAGAGACACAGAGCCCACCCCCTACCCCTGGGGTGCACAGATCGGGCCTTCCTGCACTGCCTGCACCTGAGGGGGAACCCATGCTCCCATACCCGCATACCAGCCTCCTTCCCAAAGGCTCCCCCTGCCCACCCCAGGGCCAGCACCGTTCTGGGGCGGGTGGAGACAGCCGTAGAACCAGGGGCCCTGAGTCCACATGTTAAGTTGGCCTCATGCTCTGTCCAGTCAGGGCAGACCTGCTGGACACTCCACACTTCACCCCCCAGAGCCCAGAAGGCCTGCCCCATGAAGTCAAGGAGGCCGTCTGCCCCCTCTCCACATACCTCACGGCGTCTAGTCTCTTGTTCTGCCGGATGAGCTCAATGAACTCCTGAATCCTCAGGCTGAACTCCAGGCAACTCTGGGGGTAAAGACAAGACCAGGCTTGGGGAGGGTCGCCACAGAGCCATGCCCATAGGCTGACCCCTCCAGACCAGCTGGACACTGCACACTCCACCAAGGAAGCTTAGAGCCACCGGGGGAGGTGGGTCTGATACCCAAACCGTAACTTCAGCCTGCAGTCAACGCTCTCCTGGCTCTGACGGCACGTGGGCCCAGCGCTCCTCCCGCAGCAGGCCCTGAGCGCGTACCCACCAGCCAGGCTTGGGAACGAGTCACCGGGAGGAGGCTGCAGGCCGTCAGCAGTTTGGAGGGCGTGAGACATGACTTCCCATGTGAAGCAAGGGAGCCCAAGAAGACAAGTTTCCACCCCCTTTACGAGGACCAAGCAGCTCTCTGGATTCTGTCTCAGGGTTGTAAAGGCATAAAAACATGGGGATGTGCCCTCAGAGCCTCAGATGGCCTGAGAACCCCGTGTGGCACATTCCACCCCGACCTGCTCTGGGAGAGGGAGGCCAGCCCCGGTGGGAGGCCAACGCTGGTGGGAGGAGAGGCTGCTGGGAGGTGGCGCCTCACAGAGGAGCGTGAGCGGGAGCAACGCACGCGGAGCCGGAGAGAGAAACCAGGTCCCTGAGCAGGGACGCGGGGTGGGGATGAGGAGGGGACAGTCTGCAGAGACGCCTGGGGAGAATGTTCCAGGCAGAGGAAGAGCCAGGTCAAAGGCCTTGGGGGGGTGGGCGGGACCAGGAGGAGCGCAGCGCTGCTGAGCCGTCCGAGCACGCGGCGGAAGCCCCAGGATTTGCAGAGGTCGCGAGTCTGGGGCAGCGGCTGCTGGAGGACGCACTGCTGTGCAGTCAGCTGCGTGTCTGACAGGCACCTGTGCAAACACGGCACGTGCGGTTCTGAGGGGGCGCCAGCAGGGTGTGCCACCCGCAGGGTCATTTGTACGGCAGGCCAAATGCTAACTCTGCAACCGCAGCAATGTCAGTCCAACTTGGGTTCAAACTCTTGTGGCTGGGGATGGGGGAAGGCAGGCAAAGTTAACCTTTGTAGCCTAAGATGAAAAACTGGATTATTTTACAAAGATGATAATTTAGAAAACACTAGGTATTTCCAACCAGAAACGGATATGTAGAATTAAGAGAACAAGAGAAAAATCTCTGCGTTTTCCACCTCATTTGCCATTTTGCTTTCCACAGTACCTGGATCACAAGATGACGTGGACACATAGTCTACAAGGCAAGTCCGTCAGTCAACCCCAAACGTCTAACCCTTACGCTCACGTTTACCAGTCATGTGGACTGTTCCCACCCGAGCCTCCAAGCGTGTGCACGGGCATTCTGATGAAGCAGCTCAGCCAGGCCCCTGGGAGGGCGCCCTCCACCAAGCCCCAGCCCTGTTCCACGGACACGAGGGTGCAGCACTGGCCGATGGGACCTACCTTGGGGCCCACCCGGCTGTCAGAGGCAAAGCTGCAGGGAGCCACCTACCTGGTGCCCAACACGTCCACACCATAGGTGCTCAGAGCAAAGCGTGTTTCCCTGCCCCAGGCCCTCCTCCCCTGCCCTCTGTACCAAGGCGGCAGTCTGTCCTGACCCCCAACTGGATGGAGCCGGTGCCATGTGCTGAGCGGCAGCACAAACCAGCCCCAGTGATGAGTTTCCTTCCAAGGCCAGACCAGCAGGAGGCAAGGGGCAGAGAGCAGTGAGGAGATGCCCTGCCTGCCTCCCCAGGGCACCAGATGATCGCCGCTTCTGTATTCAGGGGACGCCAGGGGCTCTACCGGCAACAGGAAGCCACCAGGTGGGCATTCCAGACGGACGTCATGGTAAACTCCCCACGACTGACATGTTTAAACACGTTCCACTATTGTAACAGCTCTGCTCTAGCAGGTTACCTTCCAGACAAATACATGTGTACCAAAACCTAGGTACTCAGACTCAAACGTAAAATACCACGATTCCAGGTGATCACGCCAAGCACAGAGGGCTGAACACACCCTTCCCGTGCTAGCTGGGAGGGCCTGGAGCAGTCACGTTTGTGACTTCATTCGGCTGTCCCGACACGCAGCACACGCGTGTTCTTGCTTCGGCTGTCCTTAAGCATCTGGAGACAGGAATCAACTCAACAGATATTCACCCATCACCTTACAAGTTTTTTCCAGCTACGGGAGACTTGGTCTGAAAGTTTCTTTTCTTGCCTAGAGTCTCACGACAGATGCGAGGGATCCATGGTCGTCGGGCATGGCCCCCCCCCGCCCCGGCGTCTGTCCCCTCCCTGGCCTGCGTGTGTGAGCTCATGCGTGTATGCACACATGAAGCACGCTGTCTGGGCACTCTAGGGCCCCACTCTGTTCAGCTGACATTTTATAACAAGCACGTTCTCAGGTCATTAGCTGGTCTTCCCAACGCATTTTGGGATGGCTAGTTACGCTCTCTCCAGTTAAACGGCCAGGTGACGTGGATCCGGCCGCCCGCCCTCCCGCTCCCACAGCGGCTGCGCGGCCCCGCCTGGACCCGGCTGTGCGGCTGTGCCCTCGCCAAGCAGCAGTGTTGACTGGAGGTAGCAGGGCTTGCAGAAACCACCTGTCAGGATGGGGGCCTGCTTTCCTTCTGACCTGGTTCCCACCGTGCGGCACAGCTGTGGGGGCTGGAGCAGGAGAGCAGGGTGAGTGTTACATACCAATTCTGGCTTTCCTTTTATGGTTTCCATACCAAGATCCTCACTCTCTTTAGGGGAGCCACTGGCCACTCTACTTTTCCGTCCCGTCTTCGCGTCGTGCTCGCTTTGGCGGCCCTGAGTGGCAGAGAGCGTCACCCTTGGCTGGTGACTATGTGCACACAACAAGCTCAACCGGGGAGAGGTTAAAGGCGCTCGGTTTAGAAAACAGAAAACAAACAGTTTTTCTAATGGAGGCAGGGGAAGGTTAATAGAAGTTAAACATTTCTGCAAGCCCCAGGTGACAACACCTTTCAGTAAGCATGTTTAGATTCTCTAAGTCATGATTAAGTATCTGTTCTGAAAGCTGCTGTGGGTCTCAAGAAAAGCTGTACTGGAGAGGATCCCAGCCTAGAACTCTGCACCATTGCAGGTGGACAGCACTTCCGGACCGGGCTTTCCTGCATCGGTGACTGGGGGGTCGGGGGGCAGGACGGACCCAGCAGCGGGTGGCTAACAAGCTGAGCACACGCGGGCAGTCGGCACCTCGCTCCTTCAGAACCCCATGCTCAGAACACTTGTCCAAACCATAATGCAGAAGTGGGTGCACTTTTTAGGGATTTTTACCTCAAACCCAAACACCATGACCAAAAAATAACCCCGAACTCACACCAAACCCAACAACCCCCGTCTCAACCAGAAGCACAGAACTCTGAACCAACAGGTGCAGGCGCGTTGGTTGTGGGCAGGTGCTTGCCCCGCCCAGAGCACCCCCCCTCCCCCCCCCGGCCCCCCCCCCCCCACAGCCCCATCCCGGGTGCCCGCACACCTTCATCTTGCGCAGCCGGGACTTGTTGTCGTGACACCAGGCCAGGCAGGTGGCCGTCTCCCGCCTCTCCAGGGACTCCTCCACTTCTTTGGCCGTCAGGAACATCTCAATGTTCACTAAGTCCTTAGGGGAAAGAAGCGGTGCGTGCTCAGAGCACTGGATACCCGGAACCCAGCCCCAAGTCCACTGATGCCCCCCCTGCCCCAGCACACTGCACCCGGCCAGCTCCGGGGCTCCCTCCCTGAGCGCCCTGCCCCGCCCCA